ATTCTTATATTCTTCCTACACCTTTAAAAATACAGTCATTCCCCTTTACCCATGGGGAATATGTTCCAAGATCCCCAGCAAATACCTAAAACTGCAGATAATCCTGAACCCTATGTACAAGCACTGCAATACTAATAATCAACCTGATAACAAAGACAGCTACTGAGTGACTGCTGGCTAGACAGTATGAACAGCAGGGATATGCTGCAGAGGGATGTCCATGTCCCAGGGAAGATGGAGCCGGTGGCACGTGATTTATCACACTCCTCAAAACAGCACACAACTTAAAACTTATGAATCTTTTATGGAATTCTCCATTTAGTATTTTTGTGAGTAACTGAAGCCATGAAAAAAAAACTCAGATAAGGGAAGAATAAATACTGAACTACCTTTTAAAAACTCTTCAAATCACCCTAATATGATATGCCATTTGTTTGTTATTAGGGCAGTCAATAATAGAAAAAAAATCCTGTCCTCTTAAAGTGGGTGGTCATGGGGAGGACAGACAACAGAAATCATATCATATATGAGAGTTTAAATGCCATCAAAATAATGTAAGGGAGTAAAAGGAACCAGGAAATGTGCAAAAGGGAATTTTAGATAGGCATCCGGAAAACCTCTTAGGTTTTCCTGTCAACCTGAGGCAAAAGGCAAAAGACAAAATGTTACCTTTTTAAGGTAACATTTAAGCACAAGCTCAAGGGAGGTAAAGGAGGAGCCCAAGTGAGATCATAAGGCCTGAGCTAAGGTTATGATTGACTGGACAGAGAAGGAAGGTATATGTGAGAAACACTTAGCAAACAGAAGAAGCAGGATTGATGATTGATTGAAGTAGTAACTGAGGGACACCCAAGCTGGGATTACCTTTGAAATCCTCATTTAGATTCCAGGTGGCTGCCTAAACAGTCCTTTACATATTAAGCCAAAGTATTTATTACTTCTATATGGAATCTCATGATTCCAATGTAAGGTATAAGAAATTCTTGTTCTCCATCTAAACATTCCATCACAACTTACATAAACCTGAGAAACAAAGTTAAATAGACTGACAACTGATTACTGACTTCCATATTCTTGATAGGGAACAAGACCAAGAGCAAGAAAAGTTGTTTTTCTTATGGATATACAAAATTTATAGCACTTCTGATGATAACTAATGGTAGTTGAGAATTTTGGGCAACACAAATCAGAAAGTACACAATTAACCAGATCCAAACAAGTTCATTGGTAATGCCACATTTGACAAGCAAACAGAAAGAAATCCCATCTGAAACCAATAAGTGAGGTGTTCCTGGTGTCACAGAACTGAGGGAGCCAAGTCAAAGTTAAATGAAATAAAAATCCAAATAGGTGGGACCTGAAATTTCTCATTTGATTGAAGGAGGCCAGGTCTCAGATGGTAGAGAAATAGGTAAGAGGCAGTGAGAATAAACCATTTTTTTCAAAGCAAGTGAGAAGGGGCAGAGCATCAGCTAGAGGAATTTAGAAGATCAAGGTAGGGAACGTCAAAATGGGAGGTAAAAGAGCTAGAGGAGAAAAATGGCTGCAGACCTAAGAAGGAGAGCACAAGAGAGGAGACAACTGCCTAGAAGAGGTGGGAGAGATGGGATGGACTGGTTTTGAAGAGAGATGACAATCACCTATGCTTACTAGGTTGACTAGTGGTATTGCTGCACAGAGGGCTGATCCATGTCCCAGGGAAGATGGAGCCAGGTAGCAAACTGGAATGAAGGTGAAAGTCACCAAAAGGGAAGAGATCTAGAAGGTCAGAGAGCAATGGCCATCAGCAATGACAGGAATTGGGATAAGGAGGGAACAAAGTCAGATAACAGTTTTAAATAAATGTAGAAGAAAAACCAGGAGAAAACTTCCTACTTCCTACTAATAAAACTCAAACTTCTTACCTTCAGGTGTCTATTTGCCTGTGAAATATTCTCTTACTCCTATACTTTGACAGGCTCTATCAGTCACTATTCCCAGAAGACAGCCTTTTATTTTCTTCCTTTATTACTTCAATCTAAAATTTTTCTCCCACACCCATTACATCTTTTTACTACATTTAAAAGTGTTCCCCAAAACTCCAATGCAGTTGGACATCAGAATATGACCATATTGGGAAAGAAAATCTTTGCCATGTAATTAAGGATTTTAAGATGAGATCACTCAGGGTTTAGGGTAATCTTAAGTTCAATAATTTCTGCCTTTACAAATAGGGCATGCAGAGAAGGAGGGGAAGGCCTTGTGAAGACACAGCCAACAGTTCTGCTGCCCCAAGCAGAGGAACTCCAGAGCCACCAGAACTAAAGGAGGCAAAGGAGGACCCACTCAAGCTTTCAGAAGGAGGATGCACATGGAAACCAGGCCTCACACACACCAAACAAGCACTTAACCCAAGCTGCACCCAGCTCCCTAATGACATCTTAAGTGACTTGTAGCCTCCAAAACTATGAAAAAAAAATACAGTCCTGCATTTTGAGCCACCAAATTTGTACTGATTTGATACTACAACCCTAGGAAAATAATACAAAACCACAACCCTTCATGAAACAGTTTTCAGCTATTGTTTTGAGGGGGAGAGTAGTGACTTAAACAGAAAATTGTTTCTGCATGATTAGAGTCCTGTCAAAAACATATTCCTCCCCTCTAAACACATTGAAATACTTAGAGGCAGGGCCCACAACTTATGGATCTTTATATCACTTAACAAAAAAAGTTATTAGTTTCCTAATGTTTGGTGACACAGAGTTTTATTGGAGTCACATGTCTTTCCTGAAAAGTACAATTTCCTGAAGGAAAATATACCAGGTCATTTTTCATCTTCACAGCATCTAGCAAAGCACCTTAGCATAAGTACCAAAATATCCATTAATAGAGTAACTGCTGATTAGGTTAACATATTCATTGACTAGAACTAATATACTAAAAACATTGCTTCCATTAAAAAATAATACCAAAGATGAGTGCTAATGCTTCTGAACCTCCCACCTTGACTTATGCTCTCCACACAAGCCTCACTTCTGTGAGGAAGGGTAACAGTTATTATTCCAAGTTACCCTTGAACCCAATAAAGAGCATATAAATCACTATAGTTATCCTCATTTACTCTGCCAGCAACACCATCAATTAGTCACAATTTTGGCCGTGATAGCCCTCATAAAACACTTCAGTGTCTTTGCTCACATTGCTCAAGATAGGAAATCAGGGAAAGATTGCATGGTATCTTATCTCAGTGAAAACAACTAAGACACTATGAGGTTTAAAACTGGGTGGTCTTAAAATATTCCATATGTTTGATCTAATAATGCCCAGAGACCTTTCTACATCTTCATCCTCTCCTTTCCTGGGACAGCAAGTCACCCATCAACCATCAATGGACATGGTCTCCCCCACCTTATCCTATCATTCCATGTCCTCCCAAGTACCATAACTTTGATGTGTTTTCTCTTCCATTTTCTGACCAAATTCACCAGTTCCAATCAAATTCATTCATTAGTTTTCATTGTTCAGTTTAAATTAATTCAACTTCTGTGGCTCCAAATTTAGAGGCCCAAAGTGGTTTAAAAGCCAGGCATTAATTACAAAGAAAAAGTAGTACACTCATATAAAGGAAAGGAAACCAAAAGGTTTTCGGGTGAAATTAAAGAATCAGTATTGGAACCTTTAGAGTTATGAAACTGTCAAGTTGTCTTTTTAAACTCCATTACCAGGAGAGCTAATTAAACCTACTTTTCCTCAATCACCACTCAATATAAAATGACATTTCTTTTTTCATGTCATTATTTGCTTTTCCATGTACCAGCACTGAAACATTGATTTGTATGGTTTTTCATCACACAATGTCTAATTCTAATTCTATAGTATTTTAGCTTTATTGTAGGTTAAATTGGCTCTTAGGGTTCTGATTATAAACTTCTATATCACATAACTTAAGCTAACTTAAAGACTCACAGAATAATTCCATAATCATCTTGCTAGCTTTTAATTTCAAAGGTTGGAGAAAATAAATCACCTTGGTTTTCAAAACACCTGAAAACATTGTAATCAAAGTCAAAGATAGATTTAGTTCAGTAAGGGGCATGACAGACAGCACATACAGAATTCCCATCCATAACCCATGCTGGGTTCCAACTAGAGGGTTTCATTTTGTTAGACTTTTGAACAAGATACTTTAGAACAGTGACTGCTGCCTTCTATAACATCAACAGCCCATGATGTCTAGTTTACCAATAGGGAAAGGCAATTTTTAAAAATTTTTTACTTAACTAAAACAGGCTTATGTATCAAATTCCAACGTTTTCTACTGAGTCGTCTCTGGGTTAAGACTTGAAATATTTCTATTGTAAACTGCAGCATGACTGCACTAAAATTTTAAATGAGTAAAGGCAAATCCAAGGAAACCAGATTTTGAGTTAACACCCCAAATCGAGTTTCTAGACAGCCTGAACAAGCTCCACAGTGGCAACGAATGTGACGGTGGGCAAATCCCGGAACCCCCAAATATTGGGGTTATGAGACATTAAAATGAGAGTTGGATTCAGAACCCATGTGGTAGACACTTTGTGAACGGTTTATACTATCAGTGTACCTTCAGAAGTTGGACTGAAGCATCAATTAGGTGGGGTGGAGTAGTTGGCGTCCTCCCCCCTTGTAAATCACCTCCCCCCACACTTGTAAATCACCTCCCCTCACCACTTGTAAATCACCTCCTCCCACCACTTGTAAATCACCTCCCCTTGCGGGTTCAAGTTTCTCTGCGCTCTGCAGGAACTGAGCGTGACGCGACGTCTGTCGGGGAAGTGCCCTGGAAGGGAAAGCCTAGCTGGTGGAGACAGGGGAGTTGCACACATTTCCCCATTTGGGAGGGAGGAGGCACTGTCGAGGACACTGTAGCCAACAGGGGCACAGCAGGAGAGGGGAGGCGAGAGGAGTGAAGAGGAGGCGGAGCGGAAGCACCCGAGCTATGCTGCCTGGGAGACTGTGGCACCGGGACTGGAACTCACCCGCCGGGCGCTCGGGCTGAATGGGCCGCCACTTCAGGGCCCGTTGGCTCAGTACCACGTCGCAGCTGCCCCTCCGGATCTCGAAGATGCCCCGGAGCAAAACCGGATCGGCGGTCTCTTGGAACTTCTGTGGGGACTGCGACTGCGCTGAGAGCAAGGCTGCCACTTCTGGGGGCGCCTCTTCCTCCCGGCCGCCCTCCTGGGCGCTCACCCGGCTGTGGCGTCTCCTCCGTGGCATGGAGGAGCCTAGGCTGGGCCCGAGTTTGGGGTCCGGGGAGGCCTTTGGAGAAAGAGGAGGAGGCCACCGCAGCCACTGCTCTTGCTGCGTCAGGCGCTGCCGCAGCAACGGCGCGTCCCGCTGAGACCCAGGAGTGAGGCGTGGCGCGGGAGGAACCGCCCTGGACCTAGTCTGCACCTAGCCCTGACAAGCTTCTTCTCCACCACTCACCACAAGACTACCCACTCCGGGAGGAGAAATAAGTGACGGCCTCCATTTGGGCCTTGGGTGTTCGAAAGAATTAGGCGCGTCGCATTATTACCTGGAGTCCTATGAACCAATGCTCCTCAAACTTTGAATTGCATATTGCATGGGCATCTTGTTAAAATGCAGATTCTTACTGAGTAGGTCTGGAAGGGGGCCCCAAATACTAAATTTCTAGGCGAGCACTCTACCACTGAGCCACAACCCCAGCCCCAGCAAATACTAAATTTCTAAGAAACTACTAGATGAAGACGAGGGCTGCTGGCCATAGTGCACATTTTGAGTTGGAAGCGTGGAAGGCTCTTTCCACCTCCTTTCCAGTGAGCTTCCTGAAGAGCAGAGGTGCTACTTGATGACTCCTTTTGCATGTCTAGGAGAGATGATCTGTAGAGAGTTGGGACAGAGTGGGAACTCATCTCCTGAAACTTCTGCTTTGCATACACAAATTTGCTTCTGACAAATTTAGTTTTAAAGGAAGGTGTCCCCATGCTGTTAGCATATAAGGTCATACTTTTCCCTTCTCTGAACTCTTGCCTTTGTTTGGATCTGGGAGTACTGTAGAGATTACAAGCAGCATCATTTGTTCTCCAAAAGGCTACTGCTGTTCAGTAATGTCATCTGTAAAAGAGGAGGATCCCTGGGGCCTTCACTTTTAACCTTCATAGTTTGAGTTCCTAAAATTCGATTTTTGTGGTGGTGGTGGTGGTGGTGGTGGTTAATCTAGAAAACATAGAGTCTGGAGGCCTGTGGTTCTCAATCATGGCTATATGTAGGTCACCTAGGGAGCTTTTAAGAATCCAATTGTCTGGGCCATACTGGAAGACAATTAAGTTGGAATCTCTGGGGACAGGACCCAGACTTCAGGATTTTTTAAAGTTCCCCAGGTGTTTCCAGTGTTTAGCAAAGGCTGAGAATAACTGCTTTAAGAAATGTAACAACACAGGGAGTAATTTGTGGTGGGGAAGCATGCAGGGAGAAAGTTAGTCCCCAGTGGAGGAGCAGACTGGGAGGTAAAGCAGGAGGCTTTATATAGGGTCATTATAATTCTAAGAAAAATTCAGGAGTTAAAGAGAGTTGTGAATCTAGGACTGGTGTGCTAGTGCCAAAATGATTCCATTAGACAGGCAGCCACTTCTCTTCTTGTCCTCACCATCAAACAGCAGATTAAGAAAGAAGACCTAACCGTAACAGGAGTTTTTCTAGCCAGTCTAGTAAGACACAGGCCTAGCCAAATCCTTTTCAAACATAAAGCACTTGTGTGTCAGTTAAGCGAGGATTCTTACTGTTCAGTGTTCTAAAAACAAATACCCAGGGTTCCTCAGGAAGCAAAAAAGAATTTCAGTTTGATCTGATTGAGTAGAAGTGCAGCTGCTGCTAAGCCTATGCAGACTTCAGGTGGCTCTCTCAGAAGTCCTTAGGGGGAAAGTGATGGTGCCCTTTCCAGAATGAGTTGCACTTCTGGAGTCAGCATCTTGTATTCACAGCTGTGGGTCAATCAACAGGATTAGAGCTCACTGGCATTTTAAAAGCTCACTGAGAGCCAGGGCAAATAGGCCAAGGCAATGACTACTTCTTAAGACCTTTGCACAGGGCCAAGTTGCCATTTTTCAAGCTTCCGTCAGGCCAGAAGTCAAAAACATTGGCATTGAATTGCCTTAAATATGGAAGTAATAAGGACCATGTTCCATTTTTTCCCCCATAGATGAGATGCCCTCTTCCAGGGAACTAAAATGCAATGCCCCAGAGCTCTGTGCTCAAGATCTATCTACACACATCAGTTCCATGCTTTATACACTACCTATGCTGCAAAAGAGATGGCATCCATCCAATTTAATCTCCTGAACTCCAGATGTTATGTCCAACTGCCAACCTGACACCTCTACTGACTTATCCAATAGCATCTAAAACAAAATTCATGATTTTTCATCATAGTCCCAGAATATTTTGAATCAGCAAATAGTGTTATCAGACTCTCTGATATCATTCTTATCTCCCACTTTGTCTTATATATCACTTCCAATCAACTAGCAAATCTGGTCCACTTCATCTTCAATATATACTCTTTTCAGCCCCCTCTCATCTTAGCCTATGGTTCTGCACCTCTCAGGTGTATTGATACTTCCAGCTCAGAATCTATTTTCCACTTAGCATTTATATCATGTCTTTAATAGTGACAAGAGCATGTCACTCCCTGCTTATAACCTTTCAGTGACTTCTCATCACTCTTGGAATGTAATCAAAATGCTTAGCAAAACTACAAAGTTCTACATAATCTGGCCTCCAGCTACCTCCCTAAGGTATCTACTAACTTCTTCCTCTTGTTCATTCTGGTACTCAGACACACTGAGCATACTTCCTTCTTGGAGCATTATCTCTTGCTGTTCCCGTTGGCTGGAATGCTCCCTCTGCCCACTCCCATAGCCAGCCAAATGTCTTACTCCCCATTTTGCACACTTTTCTGCTTAATGTCACCTCCTCAAGAGGCCATTTCTGAGTAACCCCGATAATCTACCTTCTATAACACTGTATATTGGTTTTCTGCTGCTGTAAATGGATTACAACAAACTCAGTGCTTAAAAAAATCATATTATCTTATATTCCTGGAGGTCAGAAATCCAAATCAACTTCACTGGAGTAAAATCAAGGTATCAGCCAAGAGGCATTCCTTCTGGAGGCTCCAGGGGAGAATGCACTCCTTCCAGCTTCTAGAGATCATCTGTGTTTCTTTGCTCATAGCCCCTTTCTCCATCTTCAAAGCCACCTATTAATCACGTTCTGTCCTCTTTGTTTCTGTCCTTAGTTCTCTTTTTATTTGACATTTGACTTTGGCCATTCTCTCTCCCTCTGATATCCTGTGATTACATTAGGTCTACATTAATATCCTTAACTCAATTACATTTGCGAAGTCCCTTTTGCCATATAAGATAACATATCACAGGATCTGAGGATTGGAACATAAACATGTTCAGGTTGTATTCATTTCTGTACCATGCCCTTCTTTATTTTTCTTTACAGCAATTATTATTATCTCTTGTATGTTAACTTCTTTATTGGTACAGCTTCCCTACTGAATGAGTCAATGTACTCAGTATTGAATATAAGCATTGAATGTTGTTATTGATAGAGATTAAACTCCTTAACAGCACAGAGTTTATCCTATTTACTGTTAAATTCCCAGAATCTAGTACATATCCTAATACATAGTGAGTGCTAAAAAAAAATTCTGAAAGAATGAATGAACTCTTTCAACATTTATATGTAACAATAAAGCCAAGGTACCTCAATTTTTCCCCTTAGTTCCTGAAGATCAGTTGTCCCATAAATGATCCATGCTGGTGCGAATCCCAAATGCCATAATCCTAAATGTTGAAATCCTGAAAGATCAAAATCTATAAAGTCTAAAATCCCTAAAGACTAAAATCCCAAAAATCACAATCCTGAAAGATTAAAATCCCAAATGATAAATCCTGAAAGCCCAAAATCCCCAAGACCATAATTCCCATGGGGAAAAAATGTGTGTGTGTGTGTGGGGGGGAGCTACATAAAAAGGAATAGAAAGCCAAACTCTGAGAACAGAATTGTCCATTCCTTTCTTGCCTATGTCAATGACAAAATCTTTGGTTTTAGAATTTATCATTTGTATGCATTGCCATTTCTTCTAGCTGAGGAAACTCCAGGAAGTTTTAATGAATTAAAGCCACACTTGCCTGAAAAAGCTAGCAAAGTTATTGTTTCAAAAATAATGCATGCAGTAAGATGAAAAGTTAATTACATAATTTACTTGAAAAATGTACCAGACAGAGTAAATAGCAACAGCAAAGACCCTGAATGAAAATGGGCTTAGCTATTTGAAGAGAATAAGGGCCAGTGTGGTAGGACACATGGGTAGGAAAGAATGGAAGAAACATAATCGAAAATGGGTTTTGAGCAGGTGGGCAGGAAGTAAAGCACATGTGGTCACACAGGTCATGGTGTGAGCTTGGATTTTATTCCACCTCCAGTGACCACTCCTTAATAAAATACATACTGTTGACTAGAGTTTGAAAAGGATCTATGTTGATGGTAATTTGATAACCATAAGCATTCAATTGTTTGCCTTACAAACTCCAAACCTGGAAGCCAACAGACTTGGGAGACCAAAGGGAGTGACATAGGATTGAATATCCACTGGCCAAAGTGCAGATCTATACCAGTAGGTCTGGACCAGAACTACACCTACTTCCCCCATTGCACTATCTTTGTTGGGTGCAGATTCATCAGCCTCCATCTGTGGCACTGAGAAGGTGACTTCAAGAGGCTGACTCATGGCGTAGGGTCCCTGAGCTTTGCCTTGCTTCTCCTGGAAGCTTGGGTGTTTTGTTTGCAGAGCATACTTAATGGCTTACTAAAAATGTTAAAATAGCAGAGATTTTCATGGTCTTCCTTTTAGACTTGGATTTCTAAGAAACAGGGATGGAGACACTGTCTCTTGACTTCACCAAATCCCTAACATAAAGTGACTATTTGACTGTTAAACTAGGACCCTTGCTGTTTAATGCTCTGGAAACAAATACTCAAGCTACACCAGTGCAAGAAAAACAATGTTCAGGAAGCTCCCTGAAAGATCTTTTGAAAATAATTTTATGCATTCATGTGTTATTTATATGAATCAGTTTTGGACCCAAATCCCAAAAGACAAAGAAATGAATGTTGACATTCCTAAAAGATGAAAATTCCTAAAGGCTTAAATCCTAAAAGATCCCAAAAGTATAATTTTG